AGAGAATGTAGTTTTGAACACAATTTAACACAGTCATTTTTGGAAGATATGAAATAAAGGTTATCTGGGCATAAAAATGTCAAATTCATAATTTGAATAATTAAAAATGTGATAGTTGAGAGAGACCCAAATGTAGAGCAAAGCGTATAAAATTAGTTTCTGGGACAAACATACTGATAAGAAGCAAGCGCAGACACAGTCCAGTGCCATTTTTATAGCACATTAAAAGAACAGAAAGTGACCAAAATACTTTAAAATTCAGCCAAACAAAAAGTTAAAAACAACAATAAATGCAAAAATATATAAGAAACATTAAAAGAACAAGTAAAAGCTAAAATAAAATACAGAAACAATACAAAAAAATCTGATCTACTGGTAATAGATAATAATACACAAAGGCCAAGGAAACGAGCGGTACGTCCATGTCCACAGTCGCTGAGAAATTTGAGTAGTGAAAGTTTGTAGTTTTCGAGAGGAGTGTTTTTCTGGACTGGAATTGAACAGGGAATGCAAGTAAACCTGAATGTTTTTGGTGCTAGGTATTTAAATGGGTAGGAGTTACACCGTGTAGAAGTACATAGGTAACGCAGAACCTGGCGAGTGGAGGGAGCAATTTTATCCAACACCAGGAGCAATAGCAGAGCCAGGAGGTGGCCAATGGTGGCCTTGGCCAGTGGCCACCATATATTAAACTTCTACCAACTGCCACCCCAAGGGCCACCCTAATCATTTGAGGAAACTATAATTTTAAGCAGTATGAAAAATAGAAAGTATGGTTTCATCAGTTGATCGGGGTAGTCGGTTTTGTCAGAGAATTTTCAGTCAAGGGTTATGAATGTTTTGTTGTGTTTTTCTAAGATGGCTGAGAAACATATTTCCCTCTGCCCTGAAAACCGAATGACTACAAAAAAAATTCTTATCTTGACCTGGAGGCCGGCTCGCTGACTCATAGTGCCCCCTTGGTGTTGTCGCCATGAGAACATGCCCAAAACTTTCTCTTATCTCATCTGGAAGCTGAGTCTCCAATGGCCATGGATCATGTCTGTGCGGCTGACTGCAGCTGGCTACAGGAGGAAACACCCACTGGACTCTGCTGCTGTACAAAAGTCTGCAGCAAACTCTGATCAACACTCATTCCGTGACATGTTCCTTGCATTATATATCTATGTATGTAATCTGTCTTGAATGGGTGCTTGCAAGTAAAATGACAGTTAAAAATCTTACTATCTACCCCAAAATGGACAGGAAGGTGATGGAGAGAAGCCAGGCCTGAAGTCATGTGTTCATGTTTTTTAGTGCCAGATGCTGTTTGCTGGACAATTTGTGAGCAATGTAGAGGTGATTTATCCAAACCACACTACAGAGTGATGCAGTAGTTTAAATGAGAGGTAATAAAACCACCGTCGCAGGCATCTGCACCTCCAGATTCAGGAAGAGGGCCACCTGTATCATGAAGGACCCCACTCACCCAGCACACACACTTCACTTTTTGCCCCACTCCCCTCAGGCAGAAGGTTGCAGAGCATTAAGTGCAGAACCACTAGGCTGAGGAACAGCTTTTACCCTGAGACTGTTAGACTCATGAATCCCTAATCAGGATTATTAATGTGAAGAAAAAAAAAGCACTGAAATACAATTTTGATTGGTGACATGTGCTGCTGATTATCCATGCTGCTGATCTCATGCTGCTGACTATTTCATGCTGCTGTATTCATTCGTTCGTACTCATCCCCTCACAAATACTCATGTTCGTGCTGCTGTTGTTCGTTGTATTGTTTTGCACCATTAGTGACTAGCGTGTATCTTGGATCTTTTAATGTAACGTTTGGCATTGGTTTTGCGCACATCTCAGTGTATATCTTAGATCCTTATTTACTGTTTCTTTTTACACTTTATATTTTTGCTATTGTTGGGTGTAATTGGGACCCTGTGTACACAACTTCGTTCCACCTCATGCACCACATGTGATGCGAATGACAATAATAAAAGCCTTGATCTTGACCTAAAAGCCGGAATCACAATCTAAAACCAGGAGGGAATGGGATTTTCAATAGGCTATAAGGCAAACAAATAAAGCATGTAAATCAAGAAACAAAAATCTAAATTTTGGAACAAAAACTAATATAAGAGGGCCATATACTGAGGGCTATACAAACGGAGTGGATGATGAGAAATTGTGAACAGATGTGAGCAGCAAGAAAAAACAGAAATACTGGTAATCAGAAGATAAAGGGGAAATGCAAACAAGTCAGAATAAGTATTAAGATAAAAAAAATCTATGGATGTATTTGTTCTCCTGGCCTATTAAATTTTGTTTTATGCCACCTTGCTGTTGTACAATTAGGTGCTGAAGAAAAGTCTCAGGCAAGTTCTTGTGGTCTTGCTTCTTAAAAAAGTTCTGCTGAGGTCAGACTTCCCAGGGATCAGAGTCTCATCTGAGCCACAAGGGTTTGAAAGAGAAGAGCAGAAAACCTCTCCAAGAGCTACGTCCAGATAAAGCAAAACGAACAGATAGAAGAGCTGTTGTTTTATTTAGTCGTGCTGAGAATAAAAAAGGTTCAAGGTAAAATCAAGTTCACTCGACAGAAAGACAGGACTGGAAGATAAATGTGTTTTATTTATTTTTCAATATAAGTTCAATTGAAGTCACACAAAGAAAAAAAAATTGCACCTGTGGGTTCCACTAGTGTTTGTTAGAATGATTAAAAAAGGGGATTTGTCTTAATGAATCTCTATAACCTGGTGTTTTATTTGCTATAAAAGAATGTTGTCAGGATTCCAAGACTTGAAGAAACCTCTGAGGTCTTCAGCAAACTGGCTGTGGATGCTTGTGAGTCTGAGGAGTGGTTTCAAATAGATCCAGTAGGTCAATTTAATTTTTCCACGCTAAGAAGAAGAATAAAAAAGGTGAGGAAATTGGTAAAACTAAACTTTTCAGACACATTTTACACACAATTCTAGAAGATTTTTATTTCAAAATATTACAACTAAAAAGACAAAGATGGATTTCTTACCTGGCAGCATGGTGGCGCAACTGGTAGAGCTGCTGCCTCTCAGTGAGCAGGTCCTTGGTTCAAACCCCGGTCCAGGGGCCTTTCTGGGTGGAGTTTGCATGTTCTCTCCGTGCATTCATGGGTTTTCTCCGGGTGCTCCGGTTTCCTTCCACAGACCAAAAACATGCATGTTAGGCTGATTGGTAACTCTAAATTGTCCCTAGGTGTGAGTGGGAGCGTGAATGGTTGTTAGTCTCGTTTGTCTCTATGTGGCCCTGTGATGGACTTGCGACCCGTCCAGGGTGTACCCCGCCCCTCGCACAGTGATTGCTGGACATGGGCACCGGCGACCCCCGTGACCCAAGATGGAATAAGCGGGTAAAGATAATGGATGGATGGATGGATGGATTTCTTACCTGGATTAGAGGTGTTTAAACACACACACACACACACACACACACACACACACACACATTCAAAAATCTTTAGAATCAAGGCAGCATATTGCTATTTAACATAGTGACATCATTTCAAGTATGTTAGAAAAATGTTCCCTGAATTAAACAAAATGATTGTCTGGTCCCACTAAAATAACTTTATAAAAACTACCTTGCTAATGCACTTTTGGTCACCTTTTAATGATGAAAACACCAGCTTTTGAGGAAACAGCTCTACAGAGGTACAAAACATCACCATCTAACAGACTACTTACTGTCAAAGGTTCAGATAAATTTCCAGTGGATTTTTGTTGGAGAAAATCTCTCTCACTGACACTGGTTACCCAAAAGAACCACACTCAATGGCAGGAGAAGATTTTAAACCAGTATTTTATACTTGCAAGGTCAGATTTCAGGAGAGGTTACATAAATATACATATATCGCACACACAAATGTGCATGAAAACCAGCCACAGAAAAAAAGCCACGAGCCACGCTATCTGCTCGTTTTTATACTCTTCTCAGCTCAGCAGAGTTTATAGTGCAGGGGGTGTCCTTGAAGCCAACCGCAGCCCGTTGTATACCACACTCTCCATTTACACAAAGCTTCATGGGCAGAGATAAGAGTGCCTTAGGAGCCGGTTTAAGCTTATTTTGGACTTCTTGTTCTCAGGGCAGAGGGGGAACAATGTCAATAATAATAAAAATATCCATAATCTTTGATCAAGCATTCCCTGACATATCACCCTGTTTTATAGATGTTTTATTACAAATATCAATATCAATTTTGCATAATTTGAAAGAGTACTTGAAGATATTCTGCAAACTCTTCTCTGATAGTTGAAGTTAAAGAAGAGAATCAGAAATCCTCACAAATCAAATTTGATGCATTCAGAGCTTGTGAAAATACAATAAATGCTGTTTGGTGGTTAAACAAAAGAAAGTTGATGTCGGAGACTTTTGGTAAGTTATTTACTTGTAGTTTATTTCTGCTTCTTACTGTTTTTACAGATATAAAATGTTTATTGGCATTGTTTAATAATTAAAAATCAAATTCATCTTAAAGGCTTGAACCACTGATTCAAGAGGATTGAATTTGTTCTTTTCAAATGTGTTGCAGTCTTCAGAGTATATTTCTTACATACATTTGCTGTGACTGTTTATTTCTCTCTCTCTCTCTCTAGCAATAAACTTACTGATGAAATAAAGTTTGTGACAAGATATTGCAGCCATAAAACTAAAGTTTGGTGAAGTCAAGTCTTTGGAGAAATTAATTTTATTCTTATAAGGTATCATCACATAGTGAATTGGAAAAAGCTCTAAAGAAAAGCAGCCTGAAAGATTGTTCTCTTCGTTTTGTTTACAAAAAATGTAAATCCAATGGATTCAATTTCATGAAGGCTAGCAGTCTCTGGATTGTGTTTGGACTCCCACACAGTACTTGTTTTTTCAATTTTGAACGCAAAGAAAATCAATGCGTGGCCCTTATTAGGCAAGTTCCAGCAGCAATTTAGAGATTCAGGTGAGTCATTTGTTCTCTGACTAAAAGATGTTCTTCATTTCTCTTCAGCGGACAGTATCCAGAGCCACCCAAGTGTGTTTTTAGAAGATGAGCAGCCTCATGGAGGTACACCTTCACCCTCTGAAGTAAAGAATGAAGAAAAAGGTGGGAGTGACGGGAGAGGTCGTAAAGCCAGTGTTACCAGTGTGGAGAGTGAAATGTCCGCTTGCTCCATAGGCCGACTGGGAAACACCATCGCTAACAGTGAGTTAGATGGAAAAGGGTCTCACTGTCCCCATTGTACAATTTTGTGTTGCAAAGTCTCACTGATTTTAAGCTGACCTCAAAATGCACCAAAAATCTGTAACTATGTGTCGTTTCAGTTTCTGGTAGCTGGTGGGGCTCCAAGAGGCTGGATTTTGCTCTATACTGCCCAGATGTGCTCACAGCGTTCCCGACTGTGGCTTTGCCACACCTTTTTCACGCCTCTTACTGGGAGTCCACGGATATCGCTGCTTTTATTCTTCGGCAGGTAGTAAACCCTGATCAGTTGTTTTCTCCCCAGCGGGTTTCACGAACTTAGAGATGCATCCTCTGATATTTTGCTACACTTTTTCTTGCTCTTCTTCCTTTGGCTATGCCCTCTTCAGGGATCTCCACAGCGACTCAACCTCCTCCATCTCACTCTGTCATATGCATCCTCTGTCCTCATTCTACCTCCCTGTCCTTTCTAACTGCATCCACATATCTATCTCCTCTGTCTTTTTACTGGCAGCTGAATTTCTAACATCCTTCTACTAATATACCCACTGTCCCTCCTCTGGACATGTCCAAACCATCTCAGTCTGGTCTCGAACTTTTTCTCCCAGTTATTCAACCTGTGCTGTACCTCTGATTATCTCATTCCTAATCGTATCCATCCTTATCATGCCTAAGAACCTCAACATCTTAATTTTTGCCACTTCCAGTTCTTTTTCTAGTCTTTTTTGTCAATGCCACTGTCTCCAGACCATACAACATAGCTGGTCTCCCCGCTGTCGTAAACTTTTCCTTTGACCTTTGCTGACACCCTTTCGTTACAAATCACTCCTGAAACTTTCCATTTTCCTAGACAGTTGACCCAAGTACTTGAAGTCCTGCACCTTTGTGACCTCTTCTCCTTGTAGCCTCACTGTTCCACTGGCCTCCCTCTCATTCACACATGTACTCTGTCTTACTACAGCTGACTTTCATTCCTCTTCTCTCAAGTGCATACCTCCTCCTCTCCATGCTCTCTTCCTTCTCCAAGTTCTTGTCCTGTTTGCTCAACAAAAGTTGATTAAATGACTAGGTTTCTGTTGGGCAAAATGTTTTTAAAGTTTCGCTGAGGGGTCCAAGATTAGAGATGCTCTCTGAAGAACGTCAGACCTTCATGAGTTGTTTTCTGGTTGTATTTAGGAGCAGCAGATAGTAACACTGAGGGGATATAACAATCAGCTGACAGACACATTAAAAACCACATAGTAATTTCTCCGTTTACTCCTTTAATGATTTGATTTGATTTTTCCATAGGCTGACAGGAAGAACAACCGTTGATCAATGTTTGCATGTGCTGTTGTCATCTTGGATCTTGCGCTCTTACACCCAACCAGTCTCTGTACATTTAAGTCTTTTACCACAGCAACAAATTCATCACAAATGGTTTTCCTAACACAATGGAAGCTTTTATTCTAAACTGGGAGCATATAAGGACCTTAATAAAGCAGTTCTATGAGCAACTACTGGTTGCAGTTCCTGTGGCAAGAAACACAGAAATGTTAGTTAAAACTAAAAATGTTCCTTCAGTCTAAAGACAACTTCTCAGGCTTTTGAATCTGAGGTGGAGAGGTTCTGTAAACATGTTATTCTAAAGAATAAAATATTTTATGCCTGAAATTAACATCCTTTAGACTTCAGTGTTTTATGGTTCAAATTTGATACATCAGGTCTGATGTGATGCTCGTCAATTTGAAATCTTCTAATGAATTTTTGGATAACACTACTAATAAACTGCTGTCGTGGATAGAATACTGACCTTTTCTAAAATAGTTTTTGTTTTGTGTGCTAAAGTAAAAATTGGGGTACTTGTACATATTTTTAGTATCACCAATCCTTGATTCTCAGTACTTTTACTCCACTTATTTTTGGAGAATAGTGCACACTTGACTGGGCTATGATTATCTGACAAGTTTAGTTGCTTATTTTAACAATTATGTTTTTTGACACACAACATACTTGACGTACTTCACAGTACTCAGTAACTTTGTTCCATTTAAATTGTAGACAGGAGTAGAGCTGATAAACCCAGTTAACTGTGAATAGTGATGGTCTTTGATCATAATTAAGAGGATTCTGTTTATTTGAACACAGCTGTCAAGATTTAATCATCTCAGCATTTTTAATTGCTATATTGTTGTTCATTTTTTTAATAATTAGATGATTTAGGTGTTTGATAAGTTAGTTGGACAAAGCAAATATTGTTGTGCATCACTCATATCAAAAAGTCTAATTTCTGATTTTTTTTTTTCAAATGGATGATCAGTTAATTTTCATATTATAATTGCCAGTTCATAATTACAGTTTATTAGGTAACAGCTGGGCGTCGTCTCCTTTAATTAAAGCGGTTAAAAAAAAAGTCATATTATTCATCTCCTTTGGTGCTTTGATTTTATAATTGTTATAATTATAGTAAAAGGTTACAGGATTTTTTTCTTGAGTTTTATAATTAATGAAAAAAGTCTGTTTCTGTCGTTGCCCTATACATTTTAATGACGCATTTACTTTTAAAGAAGTATTTGTTCAGTGATTGATTTGTAAAAAACATCTTCCATACCTCTAAACGAGACAAAAAAAATGATGGGACACGTCTGATCAGTGATGCAGATGAAAGACAATAAATAGCTGATCACATCATCCTTCTTTTCTCAGCTCAGAACAATAATTAATTCATTGATGCGAGAATCCTACAGATCCATTAGAGGTTTACTGAATCCAGTGACTTTGTCTTGAGGTTAATTCCTGCATTCACTTGTTTGAATAACCCAGTACAACCCAGTGCAGCTCTTAGAGAACCCCAGAACACGTGATACTGATAAATTGTTGTGATTTGTGAGGCCTACATTAAATCATATTCACATGAGTTCACATGGTGATGCATGATTCACTGAAAACAAGTGAAGAGGAATAAAACCTGGGGCAAAAAGTCAGCTATCATCTGCTAAATAAAACTATACTGTTCAAGTGTATTGTAAATACTTAAAAAAAAGTTTATATTTATATATTTAATAAAGTTTGAACCAACATCTTAACAAGCAAAAGGTCATGGGGTTAGAATATGGGAACACAAGACTGAATAGTGATGTAGAACTGGTGATTGGTCTCTTTTTGATGTATTTGTCTGTATTCTGTAATGTTAGCCATTTAGTTCTTATCTTTATTTATTTGGATCTATGTATTTTATACTGTCCTTTGCATGTTTTATTTTTGCTGTACATTAATTTGGTTAGCCTTGTTCTTGTTTTAAATGCTTTATAAATAAAGTGGTATTTGAACTGACGAGCTTCTAGAAACTTGAATCCATAAAAGCAGTCGCTTTAACGTTCTATCAGTAAGGACGTGAAAGATTATTAGCACACGACTTTTTCTACAAAAAAAAAAAAAAATTATTTCCCAGTACATGATAAAATACCATCCATCCATCCATTATCTTTACCCGCTTATTCCATTTTGGGTCACGGGGGTCGCTGGTGCCCATGTCCAGCAATCACTGTGCGAGGGGCGGGGTACACCCTGGACGGGTCGCAAGTCCATCACAGGGCCACATAGAGACAAACGAGACAAACAACCATTCACTCTCTCACTCACACCTAAGGACAATTTAGAGTTACCAATCAGCCTAACATGCATGTTTTTGGTCTGTGGGAGGAAACCGGAGTACCCGGAGAAAACCCACGCATGCACCGAGAGAACATGCAAACTCCACCCAGAAAGGCCCCTGGACCGGGGTTTGAACCAGGGACCTGCTCGCTGAGAGGCAGCAGCTCTACCAGTTGCGCCACCGTGCTGCCCATAATAAAATACCAAAACTATAAAAGTTAAATCTAAATGTATTGCAAATTCAGTTAACTGTATTATGTTGTATTTGAGTTAGAAGATAAACTGCAACTTGGCAAAACCTCTCAAATTGTGTTTCAGGTATTTCAGTTTGCTCTGATATTCACTTTAGAAAATCCAAACAAATATAATTTCTATTTGTAGCCAAAAGTTTTGTTTATCTGCTGCATTGTTACTACAGTACTTTTTATTTGCCCAATGAAGACGGTATGTATGTTATAGTCTCTGTACGTCTGTTAACTTTCCTTTGACCCACTCGTAACTTCTCATCCGCTCAAGATAATTCAACAAAACCTCATACACATATGCGTCGTCACTAGATGGAGTGTCACATAGACTTTTCATCACCCCACCTTCCAGGTCAAGGTCACAAATGAAAGTCAAAGTTAAACCCAGGTATTTTCTTGTCTGCACCACTGCTATAGATTGCTGTATAATAGTTTGTCGATGGGTGTATAATGTGCCCTATGTGGTACTCTTGTTCAATTTGTGGACTTTCCATAGTTTTAGGCATCGAAATGTATCGTTGTAAGTTTTAATTTTGTGTTTTACCAATTAGTTGAACAAAATAATGTTGCTTCTGCAACAGATGTTGCTAATTAATAACATCTTGACTATCTAAGAACACACCCCTGGAAAAAAAAGAGGATGCTTATTTCTTTTGCAGTTGTGACATCTGGAATACGTTGTTCTATATGTTGTTTTGTCACTGTGGACTGAAGCTCTTATATGACCAAAAACCCAAAGAGCAACCTTCATTTAAGTCATTACAAGGCCATATGATTTGTTTTTGTCAGTCTTGTTCTGAGTCACATGATGTGACATTATAGCCAAGAACACAACATAAAAAACTAAATGATTTAGCCGTGATGTGGGATGGTCTGTTCAGTGTTTTCAGCCATCTGTCAATATGTGCAAGGTCGCTATAACCGGTCTCCATGCATAGAATGAAGCTTTTTCATCAGACATGCTTTATACACCTAACATTAAATTATAAAATAAACTAGATGCTACAGTTCTGGTTCTTTTCTTGTGAACAGTCCAAAAGCAGAAATTAAATGCTAACTTTTGTAATGGGTGTTTGGGAATCCAAATGTGCCTGCAGAGAGTTCAGCTTCGGTGAAATTCATTAATCATTTGGATCTGAACTTTGAGCAAATGCATCCTCTGATGCCTCTAATTTCTGTAATACTTGTTTCTAGAATTAAAACCAAGGCTGAGCTACAACGTTTGGAAAGATGTTTCTAATTTACTGTTTCATTAGAAGTATTCCCACAAATGAAAATACTGAGATGAGGAGTGATTGTCGCTCAATAAGCAGCAAAGAGTCAGATTCAAAAAAATGAAAATAAAAATATCCTTAAAATGTTTTGATTGTTTGTGCCACCTTTATTTAACCAGGCATAAACACTAAGAACAAATTCTTATTTACATGCCTGGCAAACACCAAGTAGGGTCAAGGGAAGGGAAGCAAGGCAAAACCATGAATTACAGAAGTTGTGTCTGTGCTCTTCTATCAGCAAGAGGCAGGGTTTTCTTGCTTTTGGTTTCTGCATCAATAAACCTTTTCTCCTATGTCTCTTTTTGTTTTTCCTGCTGAAAGTTGATGCGGTGTGACTGTGTGAAGACCCAGGAAGTGGACAACATGGACTCAACTTCCTTCTCCCCCTCCAGCCCACGAGAAAAATGGCTCAGAAGAAGGACGCATGTCAAACTCAGGGTATCTTCTTTGCATTTACGCACTTTTGATCACTTTTGGCAACAACAACAACAAAAAAGAGTTTGTGGTTGCTAAGCCAATAATTAGAAGCTCAATCTTGTAATTTAACAAACTTTTATAAAGCACTTTTGCTTAAACACACAGTCTAAAACATGGTCTCTGAGGTGCCTTTAAATCTCAGTAAAATATCCATCCCCATGTTCTAAATCCCTTCAGCTAGAAGTTATTTGTCTGCTTGTAAGCAATAAGCAACATGTGGAGGATTTGTCTTTCGTGATGGATAATTCACACTCTTGGATGGAGGGGCAGATCATGCATTTATATTGTAAGTTCATAAACAAAAATCATAAAAATTGAGTTTCAGTACAGATTAAACCGACACAGAAAGCCAATAAAGTTTCTTAAATACTTTGAACTGGTTCTATGTTCAGAGACTTTATTGTTCATATATCTGTGCTTTCACAGTCCTCTGAGGCTAAACTTGTTCCAGGCTCACACGATGGCCCCTCTGTTCTCTCAACTTTAAAATATAGTTATTTCATATGCTGAAATTGTAGAGGTAAAATGCAGCGGCCGGAAATTATTGTGACGGTTTTACCTTGAAGCTCTGAGACAGGCAATTACACGCCATCGAGCAGTGCCAAGTAGAACAATCAAGGTCACATTTCTATGCTTTTTTTTTTTTCTAAGAGCAAAAACTTAGTGAGTCCTTGCTTTTTGAGAGACTATAAATAAAACTGAATAAGGACAATACCATGGAAACAAGGCTATATTTGAGTTTTAAGGTTTTTTTAATGTTCAAATTGTTCATCTTTGCTAACTGATGTGTGTCTGATGTCAGTGTTTGAAGCTGTTCAGAATACAATCAGATTATGAACTGATTTAATCAGTGCTCAGCTAGCACGTGTGCTGCAGCTCAGACAATTCAAACAGGCTCTTGGCATAAACATCTGAAAGTCCTTTGCTGGGTAACAAGTCTGTTATTGCTGGAGGAGCATACCGGAGCAGCCGTTCCCTTTTCACATTTGGATCTGTACCTCACATCCTTCTCTGTTTTGCCTTGGCGTCAATATTGAGGTAAACCTAAGCAGTAAATAAACTCTGTTAGGCATCCCCGTGGCACAAAGCTACACACAGGTGTGTTTTTATTTTACGTACTTATACACTGAAGGTTTGCTGTCACAGTTTCAGTGAGACCTCATGCTGACAAACAATTAGCTGTTGACAAAGCTAATGCAGGAGAGCAGCTGGAAAAGTCGAAGCTCCTTGTTAGGTGTCGCATCCTTTCCATCAGTTATCATTAGCTGGGACGGTGAAACGGTAAAGCACAACAACAACATGATTAATCACATTAGGTTTTTTCAGTTGTTGTTAAGTGCTAAAACTCCATAATGTTTTTGGAACTGTAAAGTCATTTTTTCAGGTAAGTTTTGAGTTCAGATCATTAAAGCTCACGCTCATAATCCAGGTACAAATCCAACAAAGTTCAGTTAGGTCATCTGGACAGTTTCTTTTTTTTTTGTTGAGACGTTTAGTCCTTAATCCAAAGAACTTTTTCAGTCTGAGGAGCCACAACAAACTGATTCCCATAAGCAGCACACCAACATAGTGGACCAACCGGTTTGCTGGTGATAAGATGGCTTCTGGGGCCCGCCCTCTCCCTTGTCGACTCCTCTGAGGCAGCCATAGCCAAAGTGGTTCAAAACTCAGTTGAGCTCAGACAGTTTTTTTAAGTTCTCAAAGTTTATATTTGAAGCTCCAAATCTACAGCTGTCTTCATGGGACAGGGGTGTCGCCAAAGGGGGAAGGGCACAGGAGGGGCAATGGCCACCTCTAAAAAATTTAATACACATAGTATTTTCTTTATATATATATATATGATTTAGGAGAGGACTAGCTTCTTTCTTCACTCCAACTACCTCCCCCCACCAAAACTTGTCTGAAGGCACCACCATGAAGTTAGAAATGTTGTAATGTGTAACTTTGGTTTGTGCACCTGTAGTAACATGAATATTTTTTGAACGCAAAGTCACAGAAAAAAATGGTGTTGCAAATGTGTAAAATTACATTTACACAAATATTTTAAAAAGTTACAGACTCACTATTTATCATTACCTTGTAGTTATCTATCTATCTATCTATCTATCTATCTATCTATCTATCTATCTATCTATCTATCTATCTATCTATCTATCTATCTATCTATCTATCTATCTATCTATCTATCTATCTATCTATCTATCTATCTATCTATCTATCTATCTATCTATCTATCTATCTATCTATCTATCCATCCATCCATCCATCCA